CATTTGCCTAATAATTCTGCACTCCCTGTATAAGAAATTTTAGACATAAAACAAATTTCAGAATTATAAAAAATTGATACTAGTTCTGCTAATTAAGGGCAGCTGTGACACAATTCTTGCACTAGGTGGTGGTCTGATAAATTAACACTGTAAATGGGTCGAAAGTCAAAAACAAACCAGAATGTTCAGAGTGTTTGTGTTTCATGTAATTGTTAATAGTTAATGTGCTTATTGTAGTTTTGTCACATGTCCTAGGATTGTCCTCATAATTACTTCAGCAGCTAAAGCAAATTTTTAATGTTTTTAAACGGAGACATTATTATAAGACTTTTCATTATTGTAATTTAAATATAAAGATATGTTTGCTTTCACTTTTACAAAGCAAAATACGGATTGAACTCAACATCTGCTGAGATTTGTTTTACATGAGGACAGTCCTAATATCTGATTTTGTGAATGAAGTGCTAAAACCATAGCTGCTGTCTTTGGATATTATTATCCAATGTCCTGCTCAATATTTCCTGACAGAGGAAACCACCATCACCACTGTGGAAGAACAAGAGGAAACCTACTACACTGGTGTCCAGTTACCACAAAAAGCTAAAACACTTGAACTCAAGCCAGATTCTAAACTTTACTCTTCCACTTTAGAGAAAAAAAAAGAAAAGCCCGTTTTCCTTACTCAGCTCTCCGGAGCAGCTGTAAACACAGGGGAAACCGCCAGGTTTACAGTTAGAGTATCTGGCTTTCCAAAGCCAACTGTGCAATGGTCTCACAATGGAAAGGTTGTAAAGAGCTCTTCTGTATACAAGCTGATAGAGGAGAAGGATGAGTATACACTGGTTATCACCCAAGTCACGTCTGACTATGAGGGCAAGTACTCGTGCACTGCCACGAATAGATTTGGCCAGACGACATGCACCACATACCTGGAGGTGAAAAAGCCTGAAGCCAGCCAGGCAGAGAAATGGGTTGAGAAGATGTTTAAGCTCACAGGTCAGCCTGCTAGTTTCACACTTCAGATACAACCCGTGAGGTGCTCAGAAGGAACAGAGGCTTCTTTTAATTACAAAGTCAGTGGTGATCCGGTCCCTGATATAAAGTGGTTCAAGGGGCCTTTCCAGATCCAGCCCAGTAGAAACTGTACCATTAGAACCAATTCAGATGGATCTGGTTTCATCATTATTAAGAATGTCAAACAACAGGACAGTGGCTTATACACATGTAAAGCCTCCAACCAATTTGGTGAGACCGCTTGTAGTGCAGAGCTTGTTGTATTCAAAGAATCAGTCTCTGCATCTCACAAACAGGAGACAGCCGTTCAGAAGAAAAGTTACAAGGTTTTAGTGACAGAACAAGCAACAGAGTCACGCTTGTACCAGGTCAGCCTCCCAGGCCAGGATAAAGCTAAGTCAGATCAGATGGTTTACACCATCGGCACAGAAGATCGGCAGATCATTCCCAGCGAGCAAGTGACCTCCCTTAGAGAAGTAGATGTCTCCACTGCCACCGTGTACTGTGAGAGGGTTACCCACCAGGCAGCAATACTTCAGGCACATGAGACAGAGGAACGGGTGTCTGTGGTTCCTACTCACCCAGACCAAGTGTCAGCTGTTCCTGCGAAACAGCTTCACATGGCAGCATTCACATCGTCTGTTGAAGAGAGTCAGGACCTCACAGAGCAGCACTGTGATGACATTCAAAGGCCAGATCTCATTGAGCTTCAGGCAGTCAGTGAAAAAAAGTCAAAACAGAAGTTAGCAGTTGTGGAGGAGCTCACACCACTTTCTGCTGTTAGCACAGAGCCACTGGGTGACAGGAAGTCTGCTACTGTTAAAATCACTTCAGAACCTAAACATCTAGTCAGTGGTCATCAAGTGAAAACACAACTGTCAATCCTGAAGGAGGAGTCTCAAGAGATCCCCAAACCACAGGAAGAGATGGGTTATAAGGTTAAGGAAGGTATTAAGATTTTATATTCGGCCCAGTCCACAGAAAAGCAGGTGCTTGCAGAGGGTCACACAACTGAGTTAGCAACAGCAGAATCTGCTGTTAAGTCTGCAATTAGAAAAGAACATAAGCCACCTGTCACAGCTTTAGTGAACGAGTCTAAGCAAACTCTTTGCAAGGAGTCAGAATTCTCCATTCAGAGGCCTGCTGAGGAAGCAGCCCATACCTGTAAAGATACGATGATGAAAGCAGCTCTAACTGCTGAAGAGACACGAATGCTGCAGGGTGAGTCCACACAGTTGCTTCCTAGTCTAGACAGTGCCATGTCCATTAAGTCCCAGATAGAAGGAAAGCAGTTGTTACACCTGCAGGTTATAACAGAACAGGACCTCCTTCCATCTGAGAAAAGACTAACATATGAAAAACCAACACCAGAGCACGCAGGGACCAGAAAGAGTCCCACTTTGCTACATACTGTTAGTCAGGATGAGCAGAGAACAGTAGTTTGTGAGGCTACATCAGAGTTTGACTCCAAGGCAGACACTATAACCATAGAGCACCAGAAAGAGGCCCCTACCCTGCTGCATCTCCAGTCAACCCAGCCTGTGGAGGTCCTACCCAAAGAGGGCATTCTCACAGTTGAGAAGCCTGACCAGCTGGTGGCAATGCAGAAACAAGAAAAGGCAAGAAGCCATGCAGCTCTTTCAGAAGAGAAACCAGAGCTCACAGCTGATTTTTACTCAGAACTGGATTTGTCCTTGTCTGGAGTTCAGTCTCAGTCTCGAACTGAGCCCAAGCCACAAAGTATCCTCCAACTGTGCTACCAGCATGTGCAGTTGTCAAAAGAGACACCAGTTAGCACAGAGTGCAAGCATCAGCGAGCTCTACTACAGAAGGAGGATCGCTGGAACGTGATGCATGTCACTTCTGTGACAGATGAACAGGCTTTGGAGGAGGGCCACACAGATCATTTAACAGCTATAGACAGATTCACATGTCAGACAACAGTAGAGCCAAAAGTACCCACTGAGCCAGTCCAGATTGAGGAGAAAGAGATCTCCACTGAGAGTAGTGTCTTTCTAAAGGCAGCAGAACAGGACTTTGCTGTTCAGATCCAAGAGGGTCAGTCAGTCAGGCAGTCAGTAATGATGGACGAGAAGCGAGTGCTGACAGGTGAATTCTCTCAAGAGATCACCAAGTCTGAGACCACCAAAGTTGCTGTTAATGCACAGCAAAAGTTGTCCCTTTTGGCACCAGAATCTAAAGATATTACAGCTCTGCCTAAAGAGATGACATTTGTGATCCAGATCCCTAAATCATCCACTTCAAATATACAGCGTCAGCTCAGAGATGCTCTTCAGTCTGCTGTAGCCAGTGAACAGCCAGTGTTACTGGCTGAAGTTGTAGGATACCTAAACGCTGTAGAAGTACAGGAAGTCAAGGTTCAAAGAGAGCCCAAGTGGGCCATGTTCACATATCTGATCACAACAACAGGTGCCCCTGTGGAGATCACTCTAGCTTTTGAGGGTGAATACCCTCAGACAGCTGACCTCAGGACTGAGGTTCAGGCAGCATTTCACTCCATGGTGTATCAGGAGGCCCATGTTCTTACTTCAGAACAGCAAGGTACTATGCAACTAGACAAACCTCAGAGGGCACAAGCCACCTCAGCTCGCTCTAGCGAAACAGTGTCATCCATGGTAAAGACTGTGAGCGTGACAGAGAGCACAGCGGATTTTACTGCTGTTAAATCTCATTCTGCATCACTTCAAACTGAGTCTAAAATGGCAGCTGAGCATGCTACATTGGAGGAACAGGTTGTAGTGCAGGAATCCATGGACACAAAGGTAAAACGGTCATCCCATATCAAAATTCAAACTGAAGCTCACATAGCGTCTGAGCAGTCAGAGCAAGTTTCAAGACAGGAGGTGAGGTCAACAATCATTACAAGTCAAGAAAAAGATGTAGAAGTGTCTATCATTACCACTTCTACTACCACTGAGCAGGCAGTGGATGTCAGCATTTCCAAAGAGGGCATCGAAGTATACAGACCAGAACCGAGAGAATATCCTGTAATTGTTAATTCTCTCAATGACATACTGATAGAAGAAGATAGTAGAGTAACCTTCAGCACTACCATTAAGTACGTCACAAAGGTTAACTGGTTTTTCAATGGGCAATTGGTGCAATCTGGCAAAGAGTTCAAGTGTTCCAAAGACCATGACACGTACACAATGGTTATCAACAAAGTTGTCAAGGAGAGGCATCAAGGAGAATATGTTTGTGAGGCTGAGAATGAAGCCGGCAGGACAACAACATCTTCAAGGCTCACTGTGGTCTCAAGAGGTTTGATAACAGGACAAATCTATGTATCATTCACCCATTCATCCAATTCATTTTCTTTGACAGCAACTAATCATTCAGTGGATCATTCCAAACCTTTGTCTTCACATGAATATATGCATTTGTCACCTTGGTTCCTCTATTCATTTCATAGCTTGGCATGAGCAGTCTAAGCAGGGCACTGGATGGTACTAACTCACTCTCTTCTTTTTTCCACATCATCTTGGTCAGTATTTCCTTAAAGGCCAGAACCATCGCAGTCGTAATGTAATTTTATTTCTGAAGTGCATAAGCTTCTTGCTATAATGTTTGTCATGATCTGGCCATTAGGATGTTTACATTGGCATGCAAGTGGCACCAGACTGCTTTGTTTTAAACGTGTTTTCCCATGATCTGTCGCCATTCTCCACGTCCACAATGTCTCTCTGCATGTTTTAAGGGCTTCAGATTGCCTCATCTTTCACAAACCAAGAAAATCACGTACACTGATATCATCTTCTTTCAGGCTGCTTTTGGTAAAACCATGGGGCTAATGTTCTGGCATTTTTTTGGTTTTGTTTTTCTCCACAGTCACCTTGGCTTGCCATCCACCCTTATTGTACATTCCACCATTCCTTTTCCTAATCTTTTGTTTGTTTGTTTTTACCTAAAGAGTAGCAGTAAATTTCATTACTAAAATGTGCTTTTTTTGTCTGTGTCTGCAACAGTGCCCCCTGTCTTTAGGCAGAAAATCACACCTCTGGAGATAAATGTCGGCAGTCACACCAAGTTTGAATGTGAGATTGAAGAAGCTCCGGACGTGGCGTTCAAATGGTACAAATCTGGCACCGAAATCAGACAGAGTGAAAAGTATCGGATCGTCAGCCACCACACTAGTTCCTCTTTAGAGCTCCTGAACCCTGTCAAAGCTGATAGTGGAGAATACACCTGCAAAGCTTCAAATCAACACGGCACAGACAGCTGCACTGCCTCGCTCATTGTCACCGGTAAGATCCCAAAAGGACCTCATTTAAATTATCGCTATGCATATATGTGTTTGAGAGAGAGAGAATTATATACAAACACTGTGTTGTACTGTGAATTATCAAGGTCAAGTGTGGAAGGTATGCTTAGTTTATAGCGCTAAGTTGCTGTATTATTTGGCAGTATATCACTATTAAGAAGCAAAATGTTGCCATGTCATATTGATCACTGAGTTGCACAGGTTTATTTTTAATGGTGGTTTTTTAAACCTGTTGAACTTTTTGTGTGCTCTGCCTGCTCTCCATAGAGATGTACCCACCAGTATTTGTATCAAAACCAGACCCAATGACTTTATATGTGGGAAAACAAGCTGTGTTCCAGTGCTCACTTACTGGATCCTCGCCTATGGAAGTTGTCTGGCACAAGGACAACATAACAATTTCCTCTGAAGGGAACTATGTCATGAAATGTGAAAAGAACAAGTATTCCCTTCACATTAAAAGTCTTGAACTGACTGATCAGGGAGTGTACCTGTGCAAGGCTTCCAACAGTGTTGGTGTAGCTACTTTTGCAGTAGAACTCAAGGTTATTGACAAGCCCCGGTTTGTTACGGTCATTGAGCCAGTATCTGCAGCTGTTAATGACCCACTGAGGCTGGAGTGCCACGTGAATGAGGACACTGGTGTGGCTGTCACCTGGACCAGGGATGGCAAAAAAGTCCACCAGAGTATGGAGTGTAAACTGTCCTTTGAGGACAAGGTCGCTGTTCTGGAGATCCCCAAGTCCAAACTAAAGGACTCTGGGAAATATGTGTGCACAGCTGCAAACGAGGCTGGCAGCTCCTCCTGTGAGGCTGTGGTAACAGTTCAAGGTAAGATCGTAACGGTGATCTTTCCATTTGCTGTGATGAAAACCTATGCATTTACCTGAAGTGAGGTCAATGTTGACAAGAGTTTTTAGCTAGCTCCAAGCTGATACTAATACTGTGCTGCTGTCTTATGCCTTTTTTGCATTCTTTTTTGCTTTCTTATGTCTTGGTTGACTTTTTTCTATATTTCACCGATGTATAAAAAGTCTTAGTGTTTTTGAACAAAACACTCTTTCAGAGCGCCCTGCCTTTGTGAAGAAAATGGAATCTAAGCTCACGTGGAAACAGGGCATAGCTGCACGCTTACAGTGCACAATCAAAGGATCGCCTGAACTTCACATCCACTGGTTCTGGAATGAAAGAGAGCTGAGTAATGGAGACAAATATAAAATATCTTTCAAGAGTGGAGTTGCTACTGTGGAGATCATGAACCTTCTGGTCACAGACAGTGGCAGATACACCTGTGAGGTGTCAAATAATGCTGGGAGTGAAAGCTGCAGTACTCTTTTAGCTGTTAAAGGTTTGTCCAAGGATTTACTTTACATTTACTTCAGTTCAGACAAAAAACAAACTTTGGCATTAACTGCATTTACTTTACCTATGATGCATAGAGCCACCGTGCATTAGAAAAGACCTGCAGACAGTAGAGGCAGTGAAGGGAGCAGCTGCTCACCTGGAGTGCGAGGTCACAGGAACAGCTCCTTTTGAAATCACTTGGGTAAAAAATAAGAAACCCATCACCAGTGATCAGAAATATAAATTGATTTCCCAAGACTCAATAGCAAGGCTGGAGATTCAAACATTTGACACTACAGATATTGGAGATTATCAGTGTGTCATATCAAATGATGTGGGAAAAGTCACCACTAAGGCTATGGCTAAACTTAAAGGTTAGTAAACTCAAGCCCATCACAGCAGTTGCGGAATCAGATTTAATTCTGTCCATTTTTAACTTGTAATGTGTTTCTGTAGATCCACCAACTTTCTCAAAAAGGGTTGAGAGTGTTACAGCAGTCTTGGGAAATACAGTAAAACTACAAGGAATGATTAAAGGTTCAACTCCCATCACTGTGAAATGGATGAAAGACTCCAAGATGCTAAGAGATGATGATCCAAATATCAAGATGGTTTTTGAGAACGGTGTTGTGAGTTTGTCGATAACAACAGTTGCCATCAGCCATGGTGGCAAGTATTCATGCCAAGCGGAGAACGAGGCTGGGCAACAAAAGTGTGAAGCGATCTTGACTGTGCAAGGTCAGATAGCATCTTTGATGCAGCGATGCCTTTACATATTGTAATACAGGTTTTTATGTCTAAACTCTTTGTCTTATCCCAGAACCTGCCAGGATTGTAGAACCTGCAGAGTCCATTAGTGTGACGGCAGGGGACTCAGCCGCATTGGAGTGCACGGTCTCTGGAAGCCCAGATCTCAAAGTGAAATGGTTTAAAGATGGGAAGGAGATCATTAGTGGCCGTAAATATAAGATGACTCTGAAGGATAATATTGCCACCCTGAAAATTCTTACTGCAGAAAAAGGAGATACTTCAGAGTATAAAATGGAAGTGGCAAATAAAGTCGGGAAAGACCAGTGCACATGCTCAGTCACTGTTTTAGGTTGGCTGCTGGTTTCAGCTACTTCTGAAATTTCTTAAAACCTTTGTTTTAGCTGTGTGTGTTTACACGGAAAACACATTGTATTCATACATTTTGGGAAATGCATTATGCTATAGCCCTAAAATGCTGTGTGTACAATGTTATTTGCTTTTGGATTTTGCTCAGTGGTTCCTGTCAGTGTGAAACTGCAAATAAATGATTTTTCTTCTTTAACGTCCAGATCGGATAATGCCTCCAGCTTTCACCAAGTCGCTGAAAAGAGTTGACGGTAACATTGATAATCCTGTCTCCATGGATTGCAAGGTGTCTGGGTCACAGCCCATGACCGTGACTTGGTTCAAAGACGACCAGGAGATTGTTTCTGGAGACAAATTCCAGCCTGAATTTAAAGACAGCTCTGCTATACTGAGAATCATGTGGCTAGAAAAGGCTGACTCTGGTGTTTACAAATGCAGAGCCACCAACTCAGCTGGCTTTAAAGAAACCAGTGGCACGCTCTATGTGAAAGGTCACGAAGGCTTGGCTTATCTTATGCATTTGTTTTTTTTACGTGTAATCTCTGAATCATTTCATACTAACGTAAAATGTAAATTTGTGTTATTGGCCTCCAGAACCCCCAGCGTTCACAGTGAAACCACACGACCAGGATGTTATTCCAGGAACTACAGTTTCCTTAAGAACAGCATTCACTGGAACAGCTCCTTTAACTGTGAAGTGGTTCAGGGAAGAAAAAGAGATAATTACAGGAGGCACTTATTTCATTAAAAAAGATGCCTCTTCAAGCTCTTTGGAGCTTCACTCTGTAAAGCCCACTGATACCTCGAAATACACGTGCGAAGTGTCCAACGACGCTGGGAAGGTAGACTGCACGGTAGTCCTCTTTGTGAAAGGTGCAGTCTTTAGTATCATGTGCAACTTCATAAACCTGACTTCAGATTATGCCACTGATATGATATTAACCATAAATCTCTTCTGTCTCATACTGAATATTAACCTCTTCTATCAGAACCTCCCGTGTTTGTGAGGAAACCCGAGGCAACCAAGCTCATCACCAGTGGTGACTCTGCCAGGCTGGAGTGCAAAGTAACTGGCAGCCCAGTCATCAGTTTCAAATGGTTCAAGGATGAAATGGAGATCAGTGGCAGTACTAAATACACAATGAGCTTGATCGACTTGATGGCAACTCTAGAAATAGCTAATTGTACAGTAGAGGACACTGGAGATTATGTGTGTGTGGCATCAAGTGAGGCTGGAAGTGACCGTTGCACCTGCACAGTTATAGTCAAAGGTTGGTTTAGTGTTAGTTTTAATGATTTCACTTCTTCTTCTCTTGGTGATGTAACTATTTATATTACATGTCTGTTGTTTTGTTGTAGAACCGCCATTGTTTCTGCGTAGCTTGGAGCACAAGGACGTGGTGAAAGGTTCTGAGCTGATGCTAGAGTGCCAAGTCTCTGGTTCTGCTCCTTTTACTGTGTCATTTCATAAAAACTCCAAATTGATTCGGAACGACAAAAGACACAGGATTACTGTGAAAGATGACCTGCTGGCACTTCAGGTTCTGGCAGTAGAAACAGGAGATGTTGGTTTGTACCAGTGTAGTGTTGAGAATGAAGTGGGAAGGGCCTCCTGTGATTGTCACGTAACGCTAAAAGGTTAGTTTAGGTGCTTTTGTTGTTAGCTGCCGTAAGCTCTTCTCCTTACATTTCAAAAGGCTGCATTTTAATCTGTATCATATTTCTGAAATCTTAACAAGCACAGTTCTCTTTTTGTTCAGAAGGAATTTACTTGAGATTGCTCAGCTTTTTACATTTTTCTTTGCAGAACCACCATCATTTGTTCGAAAGCTGGAGAACCTCAGCTCATTGGCTGGCAGCGAGGTTTCTCTCATTTGCAGTCTGAAAGGTTCTGAGCCCATAACTGTGGCCTGGCTAAAAGACAACCATGAGCTCAAAGAGGCTGAAAACATTCAGATTACATATGAGAACAAGACTGCGCTACTGCAGATCACCAACTTACAGAGCAGTCACTGTGGTAAATACTCTTGCCAGGTGCAGAATCAGGCTGGCAGCCAGACATGCTCTGCTGTGCTGACAGTCAAAGGTTGGTTAAGATATTAAACTCAACTTTATTTGCACCCTTATTAAAATCTTTGTATGCCTTCACAGGTTGATAAACTTGACTGTTTTCTTGCAGTCCTGTGAAATGGGAAGTGCACCCTCCTTCAATTCTAAGAGTCCACATATTTGGACATAATAAAAATGTAACTGGCCCTTAGTAGGTCTTAAAATTAGGAATTACCATAGGAATTACCGGGGTAAATAGCAATCAGGAAGGAAGGTATGAATGCATTACAGGGTCCCTAATTGGCAGAAATTATTAATTTAAGCAGCAAATATATATTTAAATGTAAACGTGTTGCTGTGATCATTATGTTGGCTTGCAAAAAATGTCTCCCTCTGCTGGCATGGCAGCTTACTGCAACATATTGCAACTTTTGCAAGCGTGTCCGTGTCCATGTTAATAATATTAATTATTATTATAATGATTATAATGTAATTATTGGTCATCAGTCAGTTTTTTTCAAACACCATAAGACACAAAGTGCTCAGAATTACAATTAGATAAAAAAAAATACATGTAAAGCATATAAAATATTCAAGGTAAGGATGCAGGCTTTTACCTTTTAATCTAAACATATAACAGTATTCCTTATTTTAAATGGTCTTAAATTAAAAATTTCTTATATCATCATCTGTGATTTTGCATGTAGACTTTTTGCACAAAGTAGGAACATTTCCATGCACATATTAATAAATAAGGGTCGGTATTCCCAAGTACACCAGCAAAACTACAACATCATGGCCGAAAAAGAAAATAAAGGTGTTGCAAAGGCTTAGTCAAAGTCCAGAAATCAGAAGATAAGAATTTAGTGATATCACTTATCAATCTTCTTCACATTTCAATTTGATTCTTTTCGATTCTTGCTTCGCTCTCATTGGCTCTCGTCACTAAATAGCATATCAGAGACATCACATTACTTAATTACTCACCGGAGAAAGTCATTCGTTACACAACTCTTTCCATTACTTTCTTGTTGCGTCATAAAATGCCCTGAAATGTCTCATTAATGCTAGTTAAGAATATAAAAATCGGGCTAAAGTTCCACACACCAGCACACATTTCTGTCCTAATGAGAGCAAACATACGCTCTTTCCTTCAGAAATGAACACACAACGCTGACAATAAAAGCAAAAAAGAAACTCGGCACACAGAGACTTCAAAGTGATTGTCACACAGATTCTACTGTAAAGCAGAAACAGGAATCTGATATAAATAGTTTGGTGGGACATTAAGAAAGTTATGCATAAACAAATGCTGGCAAACATCAGTAAACGGAGTTAAGCGAGAATGTCCTGATATGTGGAACCTTAGAATGAAGGTGTACTTTTTTTCACATGGCTTTCTAAAATCTGAATATATTAGCAGGAAGTTTCACTCAAGACAATGAGATTTGACTGAAACATTGATGACTTATACTCATTCATGCTTGAAATTACATGAATGTGACCTTGTAAGCTGACAAGAACCAAAGTGTAGAATCTTTAGTGTTCTGGAGGCTCAGGTTGATGGTCTGTAGTCGATGTGTTGTAATATAGGAAGCTTTAAGATCTTTGCTGACTGTTTTTCTTTTTTTGGGACACCCCAGAACCAGCAAAAATCACAGAAGAGGTAAAGTCTATCAGTGTGACTCAGGGGGATCCGGCTACTCTGGAAGCCAGGTTCTCAGGCACAAAACCCCTGAAGGTCAGATGGCTAAAGGCTGGCAAGGAGCTGACCTCAGGCCAGAGATATAAAGTACAGAGCAAAGATACCAGTTCTGTGTTGAAGATTATTAAAACTCAGAAAAGTGATGGTGGTGAATATGTCTTTGAGGTTTCAAACGATGTTGGACAAAGTTCGTGTGATGCCACACTCACCATTCTCGGTCTGTTCTTAATGTCTATCACCTTAGTTTTGTTTAATTTAATCTTGCTTTGTTTCTCACTCGCCTTTTTCTTTTGTCCATGTTAGATCAAATAATTCCTCCGTCTTTTACAAGAAAACTGAAACAGACAGAGGGTGTCAAAGGATCATTTGCGCATCTGGAGTGTCTCGTGTCTGGTTCTCTTCCAATAACCATACAGTGGTACAAAGATGAGAAAGAGATCCAAACCGATGACAAACACAAATGCACATTCTTTGAAAATGTTCCGTTTCTAGAAATCTCCAATCTTGACACTAAAGACAGTGGCAATTATACCTGCATTGCTACAAATAAAGCAGGAACGGTCCAGTGCTCTGGAGTCTTATTTGTGAAAGGTCTGAACACATTTTTGTACCATTGAGCAGATGGATGTGTACAAAGAAATATAGTTAGAAGCATTTTTACCCAGAATTGCTTTGTCTCTGTCTTTCAGAATCCCCGTGCATTCTTGAAAAACCTGAATCCATAAATGTTTTGCCTGGCTCAAAAGTCCAATTTAGTGTACTGTTCTCTGGCACACCACCACTCACCACCAAATGGTTTAAAAGCAGTAAAGAGATCCTGTCCAGTGCTGACTGGTCAGTGATCAAAGATAACACCTCGAGCACACTGGAACTCTTCTTCGCAAAAACCACAGATTCTGGAGACTATGTCTGCCAAATACAGAACGATGTTGGCTCCGCTTCATGCCAAGCAACACTCTTTGTCAAAGGTTATTAATCTTTATGTGAAACTGAGTTGCCAAGTATGCCTCCAGCCATCTGTTGGAGACATTTTTCTCACATTATATTTGACCTTTTCCCTTTGATTCACATTAAATCTCCACTTTCGACTGATAATTCGTACCTAAATTTTCCAAAACACCCCCCTTGCAAGTTCCCAAAACTTGCTATGAGTTTGCTTAAAATGTTATCAACACTTGGATGGAAACATGCACTTTGTGAATGTGTCCCCCATGTTGTTCATCTGATGGTTTATCAGTCACTCTCTTTTATTCCTTAGTGCCTCCAAAGTTTACACAGATCCCAGCCCGTGTGTCTGTAGTTTGTCCTGGTCAGAGTAAGGTTTTTGAGTGCCAGGTGACCGGCACACCTGAGATTGACATCTACTGGTTCAAAGAAGGCTCTGAAATCAGCCCCACTGATCACTATAAGATGGCCTTTGTCAACTCTGTGGCAACACTGGAAGTCTGTGGGGCTGAAGTTAAACATAGTGGGCTTTACTACTGCGAAGCTCGTAATGAAGCTGGCAGTGAGAGCTGCAGCATGGAGTTGAAGGTCAAAGGTGTGTTGAATCAAAGTACACGATGTTCATTGTGCTAGAATTGAAGCGCCTTGAGGCGACTTATGTTGTGATTTGGCGCTATATAAATAAAATTGAATTGAATTGAATTGAATAGAATTACAACAGCATTGAATTCAAAGCAGTGGTTTCCCTCAAACAAAGAGCTAGACTGATCTGATTTAAGTTAAACATAAAATAAACAACAGGGCTATCCAATATTTTTACCTATATGAACTGTAAACCTCTGGACCAGCAAGTATGGACCTGCTGGAGTAGAATAGGTTCATGACCGTTTGCTCTCCCTCATTTCAGAACCGCCATCATTTATTAGAGAACTGGCTCGAGCTGATGTTGTGAAGGGCTCCACTGCCATGTTAGAGTGTCAAGTTGCTGGGACGGGTCCCTTTGAGATAACATGGCACAAAGATGGAAAGGAGCTCAAACCCAGTGCTAAACATGCCTTCTCTCAGTTAAATGACACTGTGTGTCTTGAAGTGCACAAATGTGATGCTGTAGATATTGGTGAATATCAATGCACTGTTGCTAACGAGGTGGAAAGCTGTACTTGTAAGACTACACTAAGCCTCAAAGGTTGGTCTAAGCAGAAGAATAATTCTGCATATTTTCATTTGAGGTGAGGTCTTTAAACTTTAATATTTCATTCTTTCCTAATAGAACCACCAACATTCATCAAGACAATTGAGAACACTGCTACTGTTCTGGGTAAAATGGCAGAGTTTCAGTGCATTGTGAAAGGCTCTCCCATCACCTCTGTACAGTGGAAAAAAGATGAGAATTGGATATTGGAGGATCCAAAGATTCAGAGAACATTTGAAAGCAATGTGGCTACACTCCGGATCCCTGCCTGTGAGGCGATACACAGTGGCAAATACACCTGCCAGGTGGTAAATGAGGCTGGGCAGGATAAGTGTTTTGCCGCCCTCACAGTGCAAGGTAACTAGTTGCAGCTATAAAATCTTTTTACACTCTGGCTCAGAAACGTTCTGAATTGTTGACTTTGCTTGGGATTTTAGTGCCTCCGCAGATCACAGAGAAACCTGAGGTGGTAAAGGTTACAGTTGGAGATCCAGTCAGTCTGGACTGTAAGGTTACAGGCTCCCCTGAACTCAGGGTGAAATGGATGAAAGATGGCAGGGAGCTCAAGTCCATCAGGCAGCACAAGCTGATCTTTGAGAACAATATCAGCAGCTTAAAGATTCAGGCTGCGCAGACAGAGGATGAAGGAGAGTATGTCTTTGAGGTGGTAAACTACATCAGTAGCTGTACCTGCAAAGTCAAGCTAATTGTATTAGGTTAGTTTCTAAAACACGCCGCTGCTGCTATACATAATAATATGTTCACAAAGTCTAACTTGTGTCTTGGTGTTCTCTTGGCAACAGAGCAAGTAATTGCCCCAAGCTTCATCAAACCCCTGGTAGACATGCACGAGATATTGGGGTCCTTTGTTCAGATATGTTGCAAAATATCTGGTTCTCTCCCCATCTCTGTGGAATGGAAGAAAGATGGAACCAAAATCTCTAGTGGTCTAAAGCACAAGCTCATTCAGCAGGACAACTCTGTGTCCATTGAAATTGAACAGCTAGAGAGAGCTGACGCAGGGTTATACTCTTGCAAACTGACTAACGCAGCAGGAAGCTGTGAATGCAGTGGGTCCATCGTGATCAAAGGTCAGACACTGCTTTTTTTTAAACATGATTGGTCATATGATCCTAAACCAAAGGTGAGTACATCTTTAACCTTGTTCATCTTGTGTTCAGAACCTCCAAGCTTTGTGACAGTGCCCGAGTCGCAGACAGCTCTACCCAAAGCCACTGCACGTTTCAAAGGCACTTTTAAGGGAACTCCTCCCTTCACAGTCAAATGGTTTAAGGACGACACAGAGCTTATGACTGGGCCTACTTGTTTAATAGGGCTTGATGGGCTGTCCTGTTTCTTAGAGCTCTATTCAGTGGGCGTCACACAGAGTGGAGTCTACTCTTGCCAAGTCAGCAATGATGCTGGCTCCGTACACTGTAGTGCAAACCTGACAGTAAAAGGTTGGATTTACATGTTTTAAATCAATCCTTGCAAAGATGTATTTATCTCATTTCTTCATCGCTGGCAAAACCCAATCCTTCAGTTACATTTTGTGTAGCTTTGCAGCATTTTGTTTATTATGTACAGCTTTTCCACTGCTGCGTTTTCTATGAAGCAATATATTTAGCATTTGTATGGCATTCACGCAGCCATTTTGCTTTTCCTTCTAACCCGTCATTCTTGGCTTATCTCATCTGCTCACCTCCTGCCCATCTTAACCATGTTAAATGGTGAGTGTTTCCTCAGCTGATAACATATCTGTGTTTTGGCTTTCCAGAACCACCTGAATTTCTACTGAAACTCCCTGCCAATAAGTTTTTGAAGCAGGGTGAGTCACTCCGCCTGGAGTGCAAAGTCAGTGGCACAGTCCCTCTGAAAATTACCTGGTTCAAAAACGACACCAAAGTTACAGACGGTGGCAACTACAGGACGTCGTTTGTTGACTCAGTAGCAGTGCTAGAACTGGTCTCCACTAGTTTTGAGGATGATGGAGTTTACACCTGTGAGGCTCAGAATGATGCTGGCAGTGTGAGCTGCAGCACTACACTTACCATTAAAGGTTAGCATCCCGTGGACTTCTGAAATATATTTTATTATTCTGATCACAGTGGCTGTTCAGTGTATTGGTGGGTTATATAGCTGTGTTCCACTGCTTAAAGCTGGTATCCATAACTGATTGCACTACTTTATTTAACAATCCAGTATGGTCGAGGGTCATCTGAGGCTTTTCCCTTTCTTGTACCGCTGAAAATGTTAATCTGCAAGTCAAAACAGATCATTTCACTTGAGCCAATACATTTTACATAACGCTTCACGCTTACCGAGATGGAACCGTTTAAGTTAACTGTAATGCTCTTTGTTAAAATCCAAGCCATTCTACCTGTAGCTCCAGCAACATATGTTTGAACTTCTACAACGCTAAAGGAATTCACCATCCTGTCTGTAGTACAACAAATAGGTTTTTTCCACAAACGTGCTGGTTTGTTGTAGTTTCTGATACATTTCTATCATTCCATGATCTTAGCTGCAGTGCAAGATAACATAACATCTCTACACATCTCAATAGTCTTACAACTGTGTCCATTTGTACTTAGAGCAACCGTTTTGGTATAAAAACATATTGAAGGTACATTTCTAAACTCCGACCCCAGTTCCATCAAAGATGAGACACTGTGTAAAATATCAATAAAAACAGAATGCAGTAGTTCGTACAAGCCCTTATTTTAATTAACGATAGAACAAAAATGACACAGTCTCAGATGTATTTGCAGCAGATTGCGCAGCAGCATACCAAATATGTGTTTACAACTCTAACAGCTCATCTGCATCATAGTTCAAATTCACTTTCCCCAAAATTCCACACCAGTTTAGAAAAATTCCAAGTTCCGTAACAAATTTCAACAATTCCAAAATTTTCACTGAACTTAAACCACACTTAAATTACGGATTTGCTGTCACTACAACTTCCAACTTCATTTTCTTAGAGATCTGCTATTCTAATTGCAGTTCCAACAAATTCTAAGACCCCAGCAAAATTCCACATTCCAATTTTGTGTTAGGAACATGACCCAAACTCAGGACTTTCCTGGTAGCGACTGTGAATTTATTTACAGTATTAGAATAAACAGTGAGAAGCAAAAAGTGTTCAAAACAGTGGGATTTCCAAAATTCCCGTGATTACCTGACAAAACAAGACGTAACGATTTAGTAAACGTTTTCACCAGACGATGGCCTGAGACAGCTTTCAGTTTCCGCGAGCCGGGCTTGTGCTAACTTTGCCACTCAGCGATAGAGCGTTGATCGAAGCCCAGCCACACTGTTAAATAGCAGACGGTTGATGAGGATCGCTGGCAGCAGATGGATCCTGATTGAAGAGCAGGTGTGGCTGTTCTTAGCCCGGGAACGCCACCAGCCTGGTGTTGCCCGAGAACCGGCACACTGGCCACACACACAAACGCACACAGAGGGAAACAGGGGACTAAAAACAAACCACACAAATGACATAACATTAAAAGCAGTTCGACCAGCGAGGACTGACGGACCATGACAAATTGTTCCATAAAATTTCCACATTAAATATACAATCTTTTCTAAGACTTAATGTTCTTACAAAAATTCCACCCGTTAATCTCTAGTAACGTTTTCAACACTGCCAGCTTTGAGCTTCATTCAACAGTTATGGATTCCAGTTTTAAGATCTAGATATGAATTGTTTCCCTCGTGTATTCCTCTTTAACGGTTCCATCATCTTTCTATAGACCCCCCATCTTTTGTCAAAATACCCCAGCCTGTTGAAGGGCTGAAGGGTAAGGACGTAAGTTTGTACTGCGAGATCAGTGGTACAGCTCCATTCCAGATCACCTGGTTTAAAGACAGAAAACCTCTCATGGAGAGCAGGAAGTTTAAGCTGGTGAGCGAGGGCAGCTCAGCCACACTGCATGTCATTGGAATAGAGCCCTCAGACGCCGGCGAATACGAGTGCAAAGTGTCAAACAGTGTAGGAAGCGATACCTGCCAGACATCAATTAAACTCAGAGGTCAGTAGAAATCGCGATAGCATTAAATTAAAATAATATAAAATAAAATTAGATTTTCAAATGACTTTGTCACCTTGCTGACTTTGCCTTTGCGCTGTTTTTCTCCTCTCTTCAGAGCCACCATCATTTGTGAAGAGACTGTCAAACATTACAGTGATACTGGGAGGGGAGGTGACCCTTGTGGCCACTGTTAAAGGCTCTGAACCCATTACTGTGTCCTGGGTTCAAGACAAGGATCACATTCTCAGGGACAGTGACAACAGGAAAATCACCTATGAAAACAACCAGGTGGCAGTTAAAATCTTTAACGCTGATGCAACTACGGCAGGCAAATATACCTGCCAACTCAGAAACGATGCTGGGAGTGTGGAGTGTTTCGCTAACTTGACTGTTCTAGGTTTGTAATCATATAATTCTCTCTCTTTCTGTTTTGTTTTTCTACCTGGAGCCTGAATGTGTGATTTTAAGTATTTTCTGCTCCCTCTCTGTTGACTCCAGAGCCTGCTAAAATAGTGGACAAGCCGGATGCTCTGAGTGTGACGGCAGGTGATATGGCTGCCCTGGAGGTCAAAGTGTGTGGAACCCCAGAGCTCATACCCAAGTGGTTCAAAGATGGTGCTGAGCTGGCTTCTGGGAGAAAATACAAAATCTCATTTTCCCGGATGATTTCGAGCCTGAATGTGCTGTCTGCTGAGAAAGTTGACTCTGGAGAATACACATTTGAGATTATGAATGAAGTTGGGAAGGACCTGAGTAAAATCAATCTCACTGTTTTAGGTAGGTAACGTCTTCGTACCATGAGCTGGAATATCCTGATCAGTGTGTTCACTCATTACCCCATTGACATGAGGGAAGAGGAGTCATTGAAAGTACTTTTACCCTAGTATCGTATTTTTCGGACTATAAGGCGCACTGCCGATTTTGGAGATTTTAAGTGCGCCTTATAGTCCAAAAGTTACGGTACTTTTCTTGACAAATGGATACTCTTTAACAGCATTGTTTGTTTCCCTCTGAAACAGATAAGACGATTCCTCCAACATTCTCACGGAAACTGAAAGACTATACCACTGTTGTTGGAAAACCTTTAGAAATAGAGTGCAAAGTGTCAGGCTCATCTCCTTTTACCATTTCATGGTACCACAATGACGAGGAGATAAAGAGTGGGCCAAATTATGAGATTTCATTCAGTGACAACAACTGTACACTAAGGGTGCTCACGCTGAAGCTGGCTGACTCTGGAGCATACAAATGTAAGGCTGTCAACAAGGCGGGAACCACAGAAACTACAGCCTTCCTGGTTGTTCGAGGTCAGTATCCCAATCCCAGTATCCCAGTCAAAGAAGTCTTTATGTTGCTGCTGTCTGTTGAATGTTTCAGCACCCGTTTCTCTGAGCT